AGAGGAAAGACAGTAAGAAGCCTGTAGCATGTTTACCAAGGGAAAAGGTGTATTCAAGAAAGGGGAGTAATCGATGGTGTATACGAAATGCAAGAGTTCAATAAGATGTGTCAATATACATAGTATATGATATACTCATACGCAATATATAATGTTATATAACAGAGAACAGTTGCAAGTTTATATGATATATAACAGTTGAAAGATGCCCATGGGGTCTGACCACATTAAACTTATTTAGCAGATCAATTTCTATAGAGTTGTGGGGATGAGAGACAGAACGGAATTAGAGCTAATGGGTAGTAAAGAACTACATGTAATATATGTAGCCCAGTGTTTTGTGAATTTGGGGTCTTAAAGAAATGAAAATACATGTCACTTAAGAAAAACAGAGGAAAAAAGAAGAGAAAAAGGGTGGTGGTTGAAGAAGAATATAGGGTCTACATGAAAATGAATGAACATACGCAAATAAGATAAGATACGGATAAATGATACATATATACACACGTATACACTCACATGCAAATATGTGAACGTATATAAATTTAGACGTATGGGTCTATTTATTTTTAATGAGAAATACGGCACCATATATGACTGTGTAGGGATAAGAACTAGTAAAGAGGAAATGACTAGTGAAGGAACTCTGAGAAAATGGAAAGTAATGGGGTGACCCTAGGACACGGGAGTGGAGTCACCTTTGGTAGGAATGCATCTTCCACTGTTACAGGGTGCAAGGAGAAGGGGGTGAGTGGCGTTATAAGCAGATTTGTAGATTTGTGGGATTCCAAGTCGAGAGAGTTTCTATTGCATTTTCTCAGAAAAGTCATAGAAAAAGTAACCTTGTGAAAATGAGAAGGGTGGGTATTTCAGGAGAGTGGAAAAGGCATGTAATGGAGAGCGAGGTGACCAGAGAAGTGCAGGAAGGGGGCTGGCTAGTGTGGAAGGTCCGGTTGAGGTTAATATGCCAGCCAGGGCCCCAGCAGGAAGCTGAAGACACACTCAGCCTGGGCAATCAGAGGGAACTGGAAACTACCAATGGGAGCTCAGTGACAGCAGGAACCGAACGGCGAAGGGAAAGATGGGTTCCTGGAATGAAGACAGGAGGAGAGCAAGGAGCAAGAGCAAGTGGGGGTGGGGATGGAGGGAGAGGGAGGGACACAGACAGAGAGACCGAGGCGGGAAGAGAGAATTAGGGAGGAGGGAGGGAGAGGACAGGGATGGGGAGAGCACGGCTGTGGAAGCGAACAGTCCCTGAGAGCCCAGGGGACGAACGCCTCAACCTGCTTCCTTCTGACCTCCTGCCGGTGCTTCCCACTGGTCAAGCCCAGATGGAAACCAGAGGCCAGGGAGATCAGAGAAGAGTGAGGTGGGGGCCGACGAAAGGAGAGCAGAGAGGAGGCTGGGCAGGTGGGAAGCCCCGGCCGGCTCCCAGTGCACCCTCCAGCCGCTCCAGGGCGCTGCCGCGAGCGACGACAAGACGGCGGCCTCTCGGAACGCGCTTCCCTGCTCACTTATTTCTGCTGCAACATCCAGGAAAGAGCCTCCAGGCAAACACTGTCTCTCTTCTTGGTTGAATTGCAGGACCCGGTCTCTCAACAACAAAGCACAGTAACAACCAGCCACCCCCAAAGGTTGAACAAGAATTTCGACCCGCTTCCCTTTTCTCTTAACCCCAACGTATCCACAGCATGAAATGAAGCTGGACTTTTCTTGTCTTTGTGAAACAGATGAGACGGAAGAGTCACGAACGAAAAGTGTGTGTGTGTGTGTGTGTGTGTCCGCCAATGTGCATCTTAATTGAGGTGGAAGCACCATAGCCGTGGGTGAGTCGTCTTTGAAAAGGTTACTGAGTGCGCTTGGTGGCTGATGAGAGGGTACCAATAAAACGATGAGAAGCTGTGTTTTCCAGCAGTAAGTAAAATATCCTATGTTTTAAACTCTGTTTAAATTTTTGTAAATACTCTATTTTAACATATTAAAGTAACCACCTCTCTCCACCTCAGTTCCACTAATCTAATTTCACACATTCAAGGTAATGGTGGTGAAGAGTTTTCTATTTCCCATTTCTATCTAAAATCCAGCTCATATAACCAGCTTAAGTAGAACAAGAAGATTTTTGGCACACATCAGAACATCAAGGTTAGCTTGGGACAACTCGAGATTCAATCAGTTGAAGAAAAAATTCAATCTGTCAATTTAAATGAGACAAGACTTTCTACCGCACCCCCCCCCTTGTTAAAGTATAAAGTCTTGCAGTTTTTAGACTCCCCCCACCACACCCCCTGCCCCTTACACGTGTTGGAGAAGAGGAACGTGCCAATTATCTTTTGATTTAACGAAGCAGACCCCAGGTATTCGACCTGCTTAGAAACGCAGAGGTATAAATTTCAAAGAGTGAAGCAGATTAACAACTGTGAAAACCAATCAGAATGACAGCTTTTGCCTCAAAGGACAGAACAGAAATTTCTAAGGATTTTTCAGTATTTTAAAACTTCTTTGTTCAAATTATTATTTCTTTTTTTTTTTTTT